GACCTAAATTGAACATTGTCCTCAATGTTAAAGCATAACAAAGATGATTGAGGACATGTAAATAATAAGGGGAAAGTTTAAGACCAAGGATTAGAGAAACTCCCTCTTGATGCGATTAGGTCGACCGCTACCAAGCACCTTATTCTTCAACACATGGGTTGCCTCCCAAGAAGCGCATTAGTTAATGTCTTGGCAAGACATTATGCGATTAGCTAACTTGATTGTACGAATGGAAGATGATCCACCACATATTTGTTACTTTCACTTTTAGTTAGGGTTCTTTCAAAACTTGTAATTTATAGAGGCCCAATCGGTCCCTGTGGTTCGACACCCTTACTTGTACCATTATACTAACCATATATTGGCACTTGGAAGGAACACAACACCAAGCCACGTAGACTTCAATTTTCCTGGAAAGAGACGCAAACGTGAGTTAAACAAAAGAACTGACATACCTTTGGTGAACTCTTTCCGTTGAATGTTCCTGTCATGGTAACTCTTGGTTCGTTCTTTGTAAAGCCTTGCATTCTCATAGGACTCATGTCTAATTTCTTCCAATTCATTGAGTTGAAACTTTCTAACATGGCCGGCCTTATCCGGATCAAAATTCAACTTCTTGATGGCCCAAAAAGCATTGTGTCAAGCTCCATTGGCAAGTGACAAGCTTTCCCAAACACAAGACGATAAGGGCTCATTCCGATGAGAGTCTTATATGCAGTCCTATAAGCCCATAATGCATCATTGAGCTTGGCAGCCCAATCTTTCCTTGTACTATTCACCACATTTTCTAGGATGTGCTTAATTTCTCTGTTGCTTATTTCTACTTGACCAGAAGTTTGAGGATGATATGGTGTAGAGACTCGGTGAGTGATGTTGTACTTCTTCATGAGTGCTTCAAATGGCTTGTTGCAGAAGTGGCTGCCTCCATCACTAATGACAGCCCTTGGAGTACCAAACCTTGTGAGAATATTGTCCCTCAAATTGAGCTTGGCAGCCCAATCTTTCCTTGTACTATTCACCACATTTTCTAGGATGTGCTTAATTTCTCTGTTGCTTATTTCTACTTGACCAGAAGTTTGAGGATGATATGGTGTAGAGACTCGGTGAGTGATGTTGTACTTCTTCATGAGTGCTTCAAATGGCTTGTTGCAGAAGTGGCTGCCTCCATCACTAATGACAGCCCTTGGAGTACCAAACCTTGTGAGAATATTGTCCCTCAAGAACTTCAACACCACCTTATGATCATTGGTTTTGGTGGCTATGGCTTCCACCCATTTAGACACATAATCAACAGCAACAAGTATGTAGGTATAACCAAAGGAAGATGGGAATGGTCCCATGAAATCAATACCCCATACATTGAAGAGTTCCATAAAGAGTATGTTCTTCAATGGCATTTCGTTCCTGCGGCTTATGTTTCCCATCCTTTGACACCTATCACACTTAACACAAAAATTAAATGCATCTTTGAATAGAGTAGGCCAAAAGAAACCTGATTGCAAAATTTTAAGTGCTGTTTTCTTAGCTCCAAAGTGGCCTCCACAAGCCAATTCGTGGCTATGCCTAAGGATGCTTTCTTGTTCTTCTTCTGGAACACATCTTCTAATGAGTTGATCTGGGCAATGCTTGAATAAGAAAGGTTCATCCCAGACATAATGTTTCACCATGGAAAAGAACTTTTTTTTGTCCTGAAAAGTTAGATCATTTCTAAGAACACCACAAGCAAGATAATTAACAAAATCAGCATACCATGGCTCTTTGACTTGGGCAACAAATAGTTGTTCATCTGGGAAAGTCTCATTCAAGGGTAGTACAGCTTCTCCTTGCTCTTCAATCACAATTCTGCTCAAATGGTCAGCCACCACATTTTCACATCCCTTCTTGTCTCGAATCTCCAAATCGAACTCTTGCAGCAAGAGAATCCATCTGATCAAGCGTGGTTTGGCGTCCTTCTTAGTGAGCAAGTATCTAAGAGCAGCATGGTCAGAATACACAATTACTTTAGAACCAACAAGGTAAGGACGAAATTTTTCTAAAGCAAAAACCATGGCAAGCAACTCCTTTTCTGTTGTGGAGTAATTGAGTTGGGCATCATTCAAGGTCCGGCTCGCATAATGAATCACATGGGGAAGCTTGTTCTTCTTTTGACCTAAAACTGCACCAATAGCAAAGTCAAAGGCATCACACATTATTTCAAATGGTAAAAACCAATCTGGAGCTATGATAATAGGGGCTGAAGTTAGCTCTTTCTTCAAAGTCGTAAAGGCTTCAATGCAAATCTCGTCAAACTCAAAAACAACATCCTTAGCAAGGAGATTACACAATGGTCTTGAAATGCTTGAAATTTTTTTGATGAACCTTCTGTAGAATCCGGCATGGCCCAGAAAGCTTCTAACTCCTTTAACAGAGGAAGAGGGTGGTAGATTTGTGATGATATTTATCTTGGCTTTGTTCACTTCAATTCCCTTTGCTTGAAACAACATGTCCTAGCACAATTCCTTGTCTTACCATGAAGTGACACTTCTCCCAATTCAAAATCAGATTTGTTTCCTGACATCTTTTAAGCACTAGAGACAAGTGGTGAAGACAATCATCAAAAGATGAACCAAAAACTGAAAAATCATCCATAAATACCTCCATGAATCGTTCCACCATATCAGAAAAGATTGCCATCATGCATCTTTGGAAAGTTGCTGGAGCATTGCACAAACCAAATGGCATCCTTCTATAAGCAAATGTACCGAATGGGCATGTGAACGTGGTTTTCTCCTGGTCTTCCGGAGCAATGGGAATTTGATTATACCCTGAAAATCCATCAAGAAAACAGTAGTAAGCATGGCCAGATAAACGGTCAAGCATTTGATCAATGAAAGGCAAGGGAAAATGATCTTTTCTTGTGGATGTGTTCAACTTCCTGTAATCGATGCAAACTCTCCAACCAGTGATAGTTCGTGTTGGAACTAGCTCATTCTTCTCATTCTTTACAACGGTGATTCCGGACTTCTTTGGAACAACTTGCACAGGACTCACCCACTTAGAATCTGAAATTGGGTAGATGATTCCCACATCAAGTAGCTTTAAAACTTCAGCCCTAACCACCTCTTTCATGTTGGGATTTAGCCTTCTTTGTGCATCACGAGATGGTTTGCTGTCTTCTTCCATTAAAATTCGGTGCATGCACATGCTTGGACTAATTCCTTTGATGTCTGCTATGGTCCATCCAAGGGCTGTTTTATGCTCTTTCAGAACTTCAATTAAGCTGTCCTCTTCATGTGAGGTGAGACCTGCAGCAATTATAACAGGGAGAGTTTCATTAGCACCCAAATAAGTATGTTTAAGATGATTGGGTAGAGGTTTAAGTTCTAGCTTTGGTGGGGTAATAATGGATGGCTCCAATTTTGTGGAGGATGGTCCAAGAGGCTCGAGCGGGGGCCTAAAGGATGGGGGGGATGGCTGAAACACTTCTAAGGCAGCCATCACCTCTTGGAACTCTGATTCATAGAGATCTTCCTCTTCTTGTGTTAGGACCGCTTCTAGAGCATCATTAGACTTTTTCTGCATAATTTTAGAAGAAACCTCATGATCCACAACATCAATTGAAAAACAAGTATCAAGAGTGATAGAAGGTTGAGAGAGAGCATCAAACACTTTAAATTCAACAGTTTCACCCAAAACAGTCATGGAGAGGGTGCCATCTTTCACTTTGATGATTGTGTCTGCAGTGGCCATGAATGGTCGCTCGAGGAGAATGGGATCAACACGACTGATTCATAGAGATCTTCCTCTTCTTGTGTTAGGACCGCTTCTAGAGTATCATTAGACTTTTCTGCACCAATTTTAGAAGAAACCTCATGATCCACAACATCAATTGAAAAACAAGTATCAAGAGTGATAGAAGGTTGAGAGAGAGCATCAAACACTTTAAATTCAACAGTTTCACCCAAAACAGTCATGGAGAGGGTGCCATCTTTCACTTTGATGATTGTGTCTGCAGTGGCCATGAATGGTCGCCCGAGGAGAATGGGATCAACGCGGTTTCCATATGGGTTATCCTCCATATCCATCACTACAAAATCAGCCGGAAGAATGAGTGTATTAACTTGAACTAAAATATCTTCTACAATACCTTTAGGATATTTGATAGAATGATCAGCTAGTTCAAGACGAATTGAGGTTTTCTTTATCCCTTCTAAGCCAAGCTCCTGATAAACTGAATATGGCATTACATTGATGCTTGCTCCCAAGTCCAACATGGCTCTTCCAACCGTCTTATCTCCGATGTTAATGGGAATGTCAAAGCTGCCAGGATCTTCTAGTTTTGGTGGAAGCTTCCTTTGCAACACAGCACTCACATTCTTGTTGAGCTTTACTTCTTCACTTGGAGCAAAATTGAGCTTGTGAGTCATCAAGTGCTTGATGAACTTTCCATATGCAGGAATCTGTTTAACAACATCAAGCAATGGCAAATTGATATTAACTTTACTCAAAATATCATAAATCTCTTTAAAAGCCTTATCTTGATTCGCTTTCTTCAAACGGCCTGGAAATGGAATCGGTGGAATATATGGAGGAGGTGGGATGTATCTATCTTGATGAAGATGCGATGGCACAAATTTGTCATCTCTTTTATGCAATTGAAAAGGATTGGGTTCCTAAGAATCAGATTAGGCCTTAGGAGTAGATTGGGACGTTTTGGGTTGCTATCCTTCCATAGCTGTGGTTTCCTCTTCATCTTCATCCTCTACAACCACAATATCATTTGATAGATCAGAACCAACTTTGTTATCAACAATCTTACCCGATCTGAGCACATGAACGGCCTTGGCTTCTTGGTTTTTTGGATTGATCACGGTTTGGCTTGGCCATTTCCCAGGTTCTCTTTGAGCTATTTCAGTAGCTATCTGACCTAATTGGACTTCCAACTTGGAGATGGCAGCTTGTGTAGTTTGCTGGAAATTGGATTGGTTGATTGCCATTTGCTTCACTATATCCTCCAACGATCATGATTGTTGTGGCCTTTGGAGTGAAGAGGGATTCGCTTGATTCTGTGTATTCCTCCATAAAAAGTTTGGATGATTCCTCCAACCTGGATTATAACTTTGAGAATATGGATCATTTATTGGACCTCGGTTGTAGGAATTCACCAACTTAGCTTGCTCTTGCACAAATTCTGGATATGCAGCCCCAAGGGGACAAGAAATGGTAGGATGATCATGAGTTTCACAGATGCTACACACTTCCTTTGAAGGGTTTCTTGAGTTCAATGCAAGGAGGGCATCAAGCTTTTGTTCCAATTTGGAAATCTGCACACTGGAAGAATCATTAGAACCACCAGCAATACGTTTACCTCTTGTATCGGTGTGTTGGGTCTCCATTGCTATCTCCTCAAAGAGTTCATATGTTTCTTCTGGAGTCTTAGTCTTATAAGAACCACCTGCAAAATTAGTGACAATATTATGGCTAGAGGGGGTTAGTCCTTTATAAAACATACGCATCTGAAGCTTCAATGGAATCCCATGATGAGGACATTGATTGAGCAGCCCATTGAATCTCTCCCATGCTTCACAAAATGACTCATCATCTTGTTGTGCAAATAGTAAGATCTTGTCCCTAAGCATGTCGGTTTTTTGCGTGGAGAAGTATTTCTCTAAGAACTTCTTTTGAATGGCTCCCCAAGTCGTGAGTGAACTAGGCTTCAAAGAATTCAACCAATATTTCGCCTTGTCTTTCAAAGTGTAAGGAAACACTCTCATTCGAAGTTGATCTTCCGTCACACCTGTCAAGGGAAAAGAGCTCACAGCATTAAAAATATCCTTTATATGGGTTAATGGATCTTCATTAGGTAAACCATAAAAGGAAGGCAACATATTAAGATGAGAAGATTTAAGCTCATAGTTTCGAGCTGCGGTGGGCAGCAAGATGCTTGAAGGGGATGCTGGAATTGTTGGGATATCAAGGTCTCCCATGAACTCATTGGCAGCCATCTCTTCTTCTTCTTTTTGGTCTGAACTTGATTCTGAATTTGAAGGTGAAGAACTTGGGAGGTCAGTGTGGATAGCAAGACCTTCAAATGTGGCAATGGCTTGCTCTTTTGCAGTTGCCAACTCTCTTTCTAGACGATTCTGAATTTCAGAGATCACCCGGTTTGGTTGCAAAGATGGCCCTGCGTTCAAAGATCTTGAACGTTGGAATGAAGACCTTACTTGTTCAAGTAAGGGATTTCTAGACATAAACTACCTGAAACAGAAAATAACTCGAGTTAATTAGTACTACTAAAAGAATAGGGTAACCTTGGGCACATAACCAGGGAAGAACTTTCATTCAATCCCCGGCAACGGCGCCAAAATCTGTTGTTAATATGTTAACTCGCAATTGTACGGGCCAATTAGTAATATAGCAAGACAAGTACGAGGTCGTACCCACGAGGACTGAGAAGTTAAAATTAGTTATGTACTTAGATTACCAAATTCAAGAAAGTAGGAGGTTAAGTCTAAAATAGAATTTAAAGCAAGAGTGATTGTAATTGTTGAACAAATGAGGCAAAACGAAATTTCAAACAAAAGCAAAGTGAGCAAATGTAACAAAGAGTGTTTTTGTGGGCTGGAAAACAGATTGGGAGACTAGGGCATTCGATTCACCATAACAATTCAATTCTAGGTTATAAGGAGTCAAGTGACAAGTCTAATTCGGATTCAAAGATTGATTCTAGCTAAAGTGTGATTAGGCCATGGTGTCTGGTCTTAACCTTGTGTTCCTAATTCCCTAACTTGATCATTTGTTGTCTAACCTAAATTAAGCATTAGGAACTCATTAAGCATAGAAGAACAATTTAAACAACCAAGCATGTATCTAATCCCTGTTGTCGAATGTCCATCCATACTTTTCTTATTCATAGTTCAATTCGAATCAAAGCATGGTGTCTACTCTTGATTCAAACCAAGATAGCTAATATACAAGTTCTAATGGTGATCAATCATCCAAACAAGCATATTAACTGATAAGCATAATGAATAAGAACATGAATCAGGAATTAAACTTGAAACTCAAAACTTCAACTTATAAACCTAGAATATTCATGTTAGGTTACATCGAAGTCCTAGTTATGAATTTAGCTACTCATAATGGAAATGAAACTTAAACAGAAATGAGAAAACATAGTGAATGTAATAAGAGTGGAAAAACCCATTTCTGAAGTTACTTGTGGTGTCCAAGGCTTCTCCAAGTGCTTCTCCACACCTAATGCTGCTCCAAGACCTTCCTCACATCTAGAGTATGGCAACTAAAGAGGTGATTTGGGATGAGTTTGGGTGAGTGGTGATGGCAGAGAAAGAGGAAATTCGTAGGGAAATGGAAGGAAGGCTTGTTGGAGCTGTTTTGGTGATTTGGGACTGAATGGAGTGTTTGGGGAAGGATGGGAGTGTTAGAGGATGGCTGAAGTGAATTTTAGGCTGAATGGAGTGACTCTTTTCTTGAATGAGTGTGCATCACTCTATTTATAGAGTGCAAATTCGTGCTCCCCCTTTGGCTGGTGAAGCACACCCATTCCTAGCTATTCCCATTTGTCTGAGCTGCCCATTAGGTTCCCATGCTGCTGTTTTGATGTGTAGCCCATGCCTCTAGGAATGTCAATTGCCCATGCCTTCTGAGTTTCCATGCTGTCTTGTCAGCACATGACTTAACAGCTAGCAGTTGCATTCCTGAGCATGGTGTGCATTTTGATGGGCTCACGGATTGGGGTTGACTTAATCAATTGATCTTTTTGAGTAGTCCATCTTGCAGTTCAGACTCTCATCTTTCCAGGCACATATTATATGGGCCAATCAAAGTTGGGAGAAAAACGTTAAGGCCGAAATGAGTTGCCAACCCAGTCTGCTCGTTTTTGCACCATTTTGCATCTTTTCTTATCCAAAGGCACCATTGCTACCTAAGGCTCAATGAACTGAATGATAAACAGAAAAGGGATTAAAAGCACACGTTTGACTCAATAACATAACCAAATCATAAGTTAGAAGGGTACAAAATGATATGCAATTGTGAACTGATCAAATACCCATATGTTCAAAATATATATTCTAACATTTGAAATACATCCAAAATCTATCCAAAATAGCCATCTATTCAAAATACACATTCCAACATCTACTAGCCATCTATTCAAAATATACATTCCAGCATATACTAGCCATCTGTTTAAAATATACATTCCGAAATTCATCCAAAATAGCCATCTGTTCAAAATACCCATGAAATCCATCATCAAAATGTATTCAATGAATCTACTTTACCTCAATGGCCTTGCCCTTTTTGCAGGGGATTTGAACCTTTTCCCTTGTGGCCTAGAAATGTTTTGAGTGGTAACAGCAGACTATGGTTATGAAACAAAATTGCTTGGACCTGCTTATGAAACAAAATTGCAAGGAGCTGGTTGAGAAGCAACATTAGTTGGAGTTGATTGGCTAGCAACTTTGGTTGGAGCTGTTTGGCTTGCAGTGGCTGCAGTCCTTGTCAAACCTCCTCTAATTGTCTGCAAATGAAATTAATCACAATTAAAACAATTCAAATGAGTCATCCAATTGAAACATTCAATCATAATTTCACATCATTTACCTGTATCATAGGTCTTGTTGTTTTTGTATATTGAAGTTCCTCTTGAGATTGATGGATTGAGTTGGTTCCTTTTCTCATTCTTTTTCCTCTTCCTCTCCTTTTTCCTCTGCCTCTGCCTCTTCCCATATTGTTGTCTGCCCTTCCATAATTAGTAGCATTATGGCCTTCTCCTTCACAAACTGAGCAATGGATTACAATTCCATATCTCCTAAGCCTAGTGACACCCTTTGGGATCTCATCAACTAGTCTAGTTCTTGCCTTCTTTGGCCTACCACTCTGTTTGTGATACATTGGGGGTTTAATTAGCCTATGACTTGATTTCCGCCGTAACTGTTAGGTTGGCATTGGTGAAATGTAATTACTATAAGCCCTATCATAAACTTCTCTCTTATACACCTCATTGGGCTCCTCTGTTGCCTTTGATATTGCAGGCATGGCATGGCAACATGGGATGCCACATAGATCCTATTTTCTACGAGAGCAAGAGTGAGTATTTAGATCAACTGTATACTGCCCACCAAGCATATGGGTGACTTGAAACCTGTTTCCACCTGCATTATGTGCAATGCATGAGCCACTATCTTTCAAATTCTTTTTCAATAATCTGAAAGATCCTTGGCCCAACTCTTTGAGTCTATTTCACCTTTCTTTCTCTTGCAACTCTCAACATCAAATATATTCTTATCCTTTCCACCATCGCGATTATTGGTTTATCTCTTGCCTCCAAAATTGCTGAATTGAAACATTCACAAAAATTGTTTAGAAGTATATCACACTTGGTCCCAGTACTAAACTGTGACATGCTACAATGAATTGTTGGTATATCCTTAAGCCATGCATGAACTGGTGCAGATATTTCCATAATATTGTCCATCTCAGCTTCCCACTAAGGAAGTGTTGTACTTCTAGTAGTAGCCCATAGCCTTTGTTTAAGTGCCAAACTACTATGCCCAGCAACTTTGAAATTATTGTGCAGATGCCTTACACAATGCCTATGTTCAGCATCTGGCTTTAAAGCCTCAATTGCTTGGCCCAGTCTATTTTGTTTGTTAGTGATAAAAACCCAACCATTTCCAGTGCCTCTTACCCCAATATCATTTATGAATATATCAAAAAACTATGTTCAAGTGTCTCTACTTTCTGTCTCCACAACAACAAAAGCTATTGGGAACATGCCATTGTTGGCCTCAATCCCGACAGCCATTAAAAGTTGTCCTAGATGTTGTCCTTTGATGAAAGTCCTATCAAAACCAACCACAGTTCTGCATCCATCAATAAACCTCTTCCTCAGTTAAGAAAAACATATATAAAGTCTCTCAAAAACTGGATCATCTCCCCACAATGATGTCTTCACTAAAACCGTGCTCCCTGGGTTTTGCTTCTTAAGCTCCTCACAACAATCCCACAACTTTGCATATTGTTCTTCAATACTTCCTTGAATCCTCTCATTTGCCAAATTCTTTGCCTTGTAGCATTGGTCCTTAGTAACATCTATACTGTAATGTTTCCTTACCAATGACATGAAGTCAGGAACTGACATGTTAGGATTGGTTCGGAAATCCTCATCAAACCTTTTAGCCAACCATTATGAAGTAGCAAACCTAATTCTTTGAGATCTGTCACAAATATGAATTGGATGGTATGTCTTCACTCTAACAGTGGGTCATTTCCCAATATATGCAGCATACAATAACCAAGGACAATCTTCAAGTTCATCTTCACCCTCTTCACATTTAGCATGCCTCTTACTCTTATCACTTTTACTATGCTCTTTGCCTTATCACCATCATTATTACCATCACATACCAGCCTCACCCTATTAGGCTCATTCTTCACAAACCTTAGTCTTCTAGCACACCTGCATGCATAGTACTTCATGGCCTCTCTACATTCCTGCATATTATGAAACTCCAAACCCAAGTGGAATATTGAATCTTATAGGTCATGCTGTTTATTGTACTGCTTGAATTTTGGTTGCCCCAAACCTCTCTTCTTGCCATCTTCATCTTCATTATCTTCATGCAAACTTTCTAAGTCTGATGTATTATAACCATTAGTTTTACCCTCACCTGGTTCTTTATACTCATCATCTTACTTTTCAGTTACAACATACCTATGAAAATTCATGTTGTCCTCTTCATCACTTTGCTCAAACTCACTATCTATGAAATCACCATCTTCTTTCTCATCCTCCTCACCTTTCTCAACTTCAGCACTTTCTACCTCAACTTCACCATATTCTTCCTCTGCCTCACCAGATTCTTCCTCTTTGTCAACAAACAAGAAGTCATATTGCCCATTCTCTTCATCAACATCATATCCATGAGCAGTCTCTTCATAATCTTCAGCATTTTCACTGTATGCAGAGAATACTGGGGACTGAACATTTAGAGGCCTAGGTGTTGGATTTTTAGTTATGTATAATACAAACAGTTGGCTTCCTTTCACCAATTTCACTGCCCCAAAATAATCCTTATCTATCTTAATTTCAACCCAGCCATTTGTCCTATGCTTAGTATTAAATGTTTTGTTCATCATAATCAAGGTGTTTAACCATTTCAAATAACTCAAGCATTGAAGCCTCATCTGCATCTTTCCCATCAACCCATTGTACAATACTTCC